ATTGGCCTTGCAATACTCGTCGGGTGTCGTTACTATCCAATTCTTGCATCGCTGCAGTTATCTTCTGCAACATGTCGATGTTTCGCCTTTCTCTACGTACTAGCTGATATCGCTTTAGGTGCATCCAAAAATTGACAGCTGATAAAATTTGTTGTTTTCGACCCTTCTCTTTCCTGTCCGGAAAGTTTTGGTTTCTTCTTTCCTTTTCCCCTACCGGCCTTCCCGTAAAAGACAATTTTGCGAGCGTATCAATGTAAGTCTTTTCTAAAAGAATTTTCTATTTCTATCAAAATACACGGCTTTTTTTCGTAGCCTAGACGCAACTTTTAGTATTAGTTTCGAAGCAAACTCACGTTGATCAGCTAACAAATTCTGTCAATAAGTAATTTGCAAAGTCTGCTCGAAATTACTTTCTCCCATAATAGAAGTATCGTAAAATTATACTTTCCGGAAAAATAGACAAGATAGGTTCCTTACATATGAACACTGTATTAATTTTCTTGCTTCAAAATGCGACAGAAGCAATTCCGTCTTTAAATGTTAAGGTAGATAGATACCAACAAACTGCGCTTACACATTATGTTTCATGTAGTTGCAACACTAGTATAGGAAATCGACGCAGTTAAACATATTTGCGATGCAGAACTATGAGTTTTGGCTGTCTCCAAACCTTTCGTTGAGTTATGATACCAACAGACAAAAAGTTAATGGAAAACTGTCTAAAGAATCTTGAAAAAACTTGCATTATTCAAACTTAATTAAAATCCTAGTCGGCTTCGTCGGATCGCTCATACTTAAGATTAGAAACAATAGAATATTTTGTATATAGAAGATAGAAAATTTAATGTAGTACACAAATTTTTCGTTGGATTACAAAGATTTTGACCAAAGCCCATACATAGAAGATTAAAACCTTGTCTGCGATTTCAGATATATAATGCGTTATAAGAAAAAAGGTGCTACTACAGAAAGATGCATCATCAAATTTTGTGCAGAGTAAGTGGAATATAATTTTCATTTTCGAAAAAAATCGACTTTCTGTACATGTTCTCTAAGCAAAACAAGAGAAAAAAGGATTTGTTTCCGCTTGTGCATTGTTCTGGGCACTATTTTTGCCTAAAAGATAAAATTTTAATTTATGCTGCATACCATTCGATAGAGACTTAAATAAGCTTCAAAACGATTAACAAACGCATGAATAAATTGCACGATATGAAGTGCTTTGGCAGATAAATGTGATCAAGAATTACATATCTGCCTACACTAATATTCGCTGTTATGAAGTCTATAGAGGAACGGAAAATAGGAGGAAAATGAAATAACATTTAGTCATCAAATTTTGACGATTTAGAAGAAGGTGAGCTTCGAAAAAAAGAGATCTTTTTGTAGTTATACTAGTAGTAAAATTTAAAAAAACGACATTATACGAATCAGACAATGTCACTCGCGTGCTGCAGCTTTTCCGTTCAGGTATAAGTTTTCAAAGTACAATACCCAATAAACTCTTCGTTAATTGTTCTACGTTATATATGCTCAATGGAATTTATTGAAGTATAGTTGAGTAGTCAGTGGGTTACATAACTCCATTCAGGAAATAGAAACTTCTTCGAAGAAAATGATGCTTTACTCCATGCTTGACAAAAAAGCCGAGATTACAAATTAAAACCGCCAGCATCATAACCTTGGATGTCCATTTGTGGTTTCATTGAGCGTTTTCTATCAACAGCTTTTCGTTGTATTTGTTTTTGTCGCTGTTCAGTTGTGTTCTGTGGTTTTGATAGACACTTAGTGTCTTTTGTTAAAAGCTGTTCGAATAGTGCTTTATTAACATCAGTCCCGGATTGTTGGAAAAAATCCATTAAGGAACTCCGTCCATGACTGAAAAATATTGCTGCAAGAGCAACACTGCCCCGAACAGAACGGAAACCGTGATGCTTTGATTTCTTCATTATCGCAACGATAAGTTGCATACAATAATTTTGCAGCTAATAAGGCGAGTAGTAACAAAAAGTCTTTACCAAACAACGGAGTTTAACGATTCGTTTGAATTTTGTGTCATTGCGCGTAAGCAACGACGTAATAAATCTCTCGATGTAAGTGTGTTATTCAGTGGCTGTAAAATAATACGGCAAATTCGATCAAAGTACTTGTGATTTTTCATCTTTCTAGGCTTATTATCATTGTTGGCTGATGCCAACTTGTCTCTACGATATATATACCACGTATCATTTGTTTTCGGACAGAATTTGTGTTGTTCTTCTTCATTATTATCATCCGTCTTCATGTAATGATAAAATGCCGCTCGACAGTACTGCTGCATAATATCCAATCCTTCATTTACTTCCTTATCTAAGCAAGGACAAAAAAGAATTCTGTGAAATCTCAGCATAAAAATACGACTTCTGAGGGGCGTAAGTTGTATTTCTTACTAGCAGCCAATGCATTAGCTTGTCTTATGGCTAGACCGTAACCACTCGGTAATCTTTGCATCATAGAATCTATCATTCTGCCGTTTTTGCCACCACATTTTTGATTGTCTTCTAATAGCTGTTGTCGTGTAGCTGGTTGTTTCTTATATATTGATGACGAACCACTTTTTGTGCTTGTTAGTGACATCGGAACTTGCCGAGTTTTTCTTGTTTCAGTTTTGTTCAATATTTCTTCACACGTTTTCGAACGTGGTTAATACAATCTTCTTTTATAACCAATAAACCTTGATATTTTACAGGAGCTGATTCAGGATGTTGCTGTTCGTCCTCATCTTCGTCGCTCTTTAATTGACTAGTAATAAATATTATTGCTGTCATCCATCTGATTGTTATCATCTGAATTTCCTTGTTCATCACTTGTTGTTGCTGTCGAATTATCATGACCTTCATCATCGCTTGTTGTTGTTGTTGTTGTTTTACCGTGATCTTCATCTTCGTCATTGTCTGTTTTCTTTTCTGCTAATTCCTGTTCGTATCCTTCTTCTGCATTATATGTTCCTTGTTCCATTATTTCTTTTTCTTCCTCCTCTGCTTCTGAATTTTTTTGTTTTTGTCGGTCAATAAAATGATATTTAATTGCTTCATATGCAGAGGCATCACTATCGCACACCATGTATTTGTATCGAAGATCATTACTTAATGAACCTTGAAACAATTTGATTGTACCTTCTTTTAACATTGATTCAGATGTTCCTCCATAATTTTTGTAACAATGTTTTGCATGCTGTTCATACCATTTGCCGAATTTTGATTTAGCTAGTTTTAATCTTTGCATATTGCATACTTCGCAATATAGTGACATTACTTCATAGTCGATGTAATATTCAGATTCAACATTGACCAAAAAAACGATCCCATAATTTGAAATATGCCCTTGACGCTTCCATGTACCATCTAATGAAATAGTGATGTTCATTATTTCCTTCCGTTTGTTAATTTCGCATTTTATACCATCAATTATTGTCGGAAAATGTTTTGAGGCAAAATCATTCAACGCGTTATACTATTCATGGAGTTGCCATAAGAATACTTTTTCATTGTTACAGATAAACATAATCTGGACATAACTGCATTGATCGCATCATAGCTGATTTCAGTGATAGCAGCAGCAGCAGTTAAGCATTTATTGGGCTCCTGTTACGTCGATTCACTTGGATGTATTGGGGAAAAATTTATTAGTCCAAACGTCCTCCTTCGGGCTACACATGGACATTGTTGAGAATTTGTTGAAAATGATGGGTATTGAAAATTTATGATGCTTTTGTACTAACTAACTTTTCTCTTGCACCATACATGGAGAGGAAAAAAATGAAAATATTGACAACAGAGAGACGGTAAGCGATAGCAGATAATGCAGACACTCTTGTTCTGATACACACCGT